ATGTTGTTCTCTTCCTGCCCACAGTACTGTTGGCCCTTTTACCGTACTTCGGGGCGGTTGTAACATTTGCTTGTTCAGATACTCTCTATATCGGGTAGGTGCAGGGTGGATCGGGGTTTTACAGACCTGTCCATTGTTTTCACCATTTGTGTATGATGGTGGAACTCAATTGAAACCTCATGTATTTCGTATTGTTTGCCGTGGTTTGTGTACTCTGTTTTTGTGGCGTGGGTGGATAGTATCCAGAATAGGAACTACGAATACTAATTTTTATGTCGTTCTGTGATCGGCTCGTTCGCAGCTGTTGAGCTGCGTGTGTACGAGGGTGTGCCGTGCACTGCTTTCCTCTCTGACAACTACAGGACCAATAAGTCCCTCTTGCAGCAATATACATAACAGTGCATATGTTAGATAGTCACGAAGAACGTATATAATATTGGCTATTTAATAAGAATATTTAACATGTTAAAATTTTATGATATTTGTGAAAATAACGCAGTTGGTGTTGCTGAGTTTCTGGACTCTGTCCCATCGTGTAGTTTTCTGTACTAGTAACTGAAGTGACTCTTGTTCTGTGACACTGTTCTAGGAAGCCCTTAAATTAAGAGGTACGAGTATCTAGAGTGACTTTAACCTTGCAGTCGGTACGAATACATCTTATCACTATACAAAATTCTACAACGCAAACATTGCTTGAGAATTGGTTCAGGTACATGAACCTCGCCTTACTAAAGGCCGGATGTACATTTGGAATTCCAAAGTCTCGGATATACATAAGCTAAAAATATTTTAGCGTAGGAGCTTCATAATTAACGTCTCTCCTATTATTGTTGGTGCGATACAAGCTAAATATGAAAGTTTCTAGCAAAAATTGTGTAACGAATTCGAAAGTAGTTCTTCCAAGAGGACCAACGGAGTAAATTCCATATTTTCTTCCCTTCACCTGAAGGAGCAAACTGTAATTGTTTCATAAAAATAGGGATATGAAAGGAAAAGCCTGGGACAGTACCCAAAATAACAGTCAGTAAGACGATTACATGAAGATGTACGTGTAGAGTGGGCTTGTGTGGGTGAATGAGAGATGCACACAGAATTTTGGGTGTCTAACCCGAAAGGAATAAAGACCATCCGGAAGATGTAGGCCCAGATAGTAGCGTACAATTACGTAAAATTTGTCTTGTGATATTTAAGATGTTCATGGCGTTGGGTATGAAGAACCCAGTCCTCAGGGATGTAATGTTGTTCAATTGTTAGTCACAAACACCTTCTTCATCAGCATTGAATAGTACTTTGAGAATTAATTAATGAAGCGTATGGTTACACAAAAGCAGAGAATTTTTCGAACACTTAAATATCTATAAAATTAACATTTAATAAAATAAAAGATCTAAAAATTGTTCAACGAACATCCTTTGCCATGAAGTTGATAGTAAACATTTTGAAGTAAATGAGTTCGTATTACAAATGTGTTTAACAGACCTACATAAGCATGAAGAAAGCAGTCTTCTGGGATTTGGCACCGTGTATAAGTGGTGGTTAACA